GTGATCTCCCTGCCTTGGCCTCCCATAGTGCTGCGATCACAGGCATGAGCCACGGAGCTTGGCCAAGAATGGGATTCTTTTTTTTTTTTTTTTGAGACGGAGTTTCGCTCTTGTTACCCAGGCTGGAGTGCAATGGCGCCATCTCGGCTCACCGCAACCTCCGCCTCCTGGGTTCAGGCAATTCTCCTGCCTCAGCCTCCGGAGTAGCTGGGACTACAGGCACGCACCACCATGCCCAGCTAATTTTTTGTATTTTTAGTAGAGACGAGGTTTCACAATGTTGACTAGGATGGCCTCGATCTCTTGACCTTGTGATCCACCCGCCTCGGCCTCCCAAAGTGCTGGGATTACAGGTGTGAGCCACCACGCCCAGCCCCGGAATGGGATTCTTTATATAGAGTGAACATTTCTTTTCAGAGGGAATAATTTTTGTTCTCTTTTGATATTGCTCCACGGGCTGTTGACTATTTGGCTAATGAATGGCTACTGATTGATTGAGAAGCTAAACCTTCTGAGATGTTAATTTTATTGATATTAGTTTATAGCAGTTCCTGTAGGAGCCATAGCTCTAAGAGAGGTGTACAGTTTTAGTGAAGTGGACATCAGGATTCCATTCTGCATTACTGGACTGAAACATTTGTCTTAAATAGTCAAGGCCACTGCCTGTGAGAACAGAAAACATTTTTTTCTTTTTTTTTTTTTTTTGATACAGGGTCTTGCTCTGTCAGGCTGGAGTGCAGTGGCACGATCATGGCTCACTGCAGCCTCGAACTCACGGGCTCAACCCATCCCCCCACCTCAGCTTCCTGAGCCACTGGGACCACAGGCATGCACCACCATACCTGGCTAATTTTAAAACAATTTTTTGTAGAGAAGGGGGTCTCTCTATGTTGTCCGGGCTGTTCTTGAACTCCTGGGCTCAAGTAAACGTCTGACTCCAGCCTCCCAAAGTGCTGGGACCACAGGTGTGAGCCACTGTGCCCAGCCAGCAAACATTTCTGCTAAGGATCCCCACCCTCCTTTCCTCCCCCCCTCCCTTCCCCTCCCCCCTCCCTTCCCCTCCCCCTCTCCCTTCCCCTCCCCCTCCCTCCCTACCCCCTCCCCTTCCCTCACTCCCCCTCCTTCCCTCCCTCTCCCCTCCCCATTCCTCCCCCCCCCCCCCCCTCCCTCCCTCCTTCCCTCCCCCTCCCCCTTCCTCCCTTCCCCCCTCCTTCCCTCTCTCCCTCCCTCCCCTCGCCTTCTTTCCTTCCTTTCTTCTTCCTCTTTCTTTATGTGTCAGTTTAGAATTTTTTTGATGCAAGCAGCAGAAAACCCCAACTTGGGCTGGGCACAACGGTTCACACATGTAATCCCAGCACTTTGGGGGGGCCAAGGTGAGAGAGTTGCTTAAGCCCAGAGTTCAAGACTAGCCTTGGCAACATAGTGAGACCCTATCTCTATTTAAAAACAAAAACAAAAAATAACCCCACTTAATGGCCTAAAGCAATTAGGGAGTCTGTTCCCCAATAAGAGGTCCAGAGGAGGAAGGCTTGGCGTTGGTTAGTTCAGGGCTCAGCACGGGCATGAGGGTCCCGCTTCTTTCTGTCTCTCCACTCTTCCATCCTCAGGGTGAACTTTTGACTACTCCTCATATTCACAAGATGTGGCTGCAGTCCAAGCCCCACACCCAGCTGCGGCAGCACTGGGGAAGTAAAAACGATTGTTCTTCACTCTTCTTTTTTTTTGAGATGGAGTCTCGCTCTGTCGCCAGGCTGGAGTACAGTGGCACGATCTTAGCTCACTGCAACTTCCGCTCCAGGTTCAAGCGACTCTCCTGACTCAGACTCCCGAGTAGCTGGAATTACAGGCGCCTGCCACTCCACCCAGCTAATTTTTGTATTTTTAGTAGAGGTGGGACTTCACAGAGACGGGATTTCACTATTGACCAGGATGGTCTCCTCTTTTTATAAACCAGAAAACATAGCTTAGACCTCCCTCCCCATTCCCAGAAACACCCTCTTATTTTGCATGTGGCCAGAAATGGGCACAGGCACGTCCCTAGATAAATCACTGCCCGGGGGAGTGGAGCCATCAGAGCTGGCTGAAAACACTGAGGTTTGCCTCTGAGCCTCAGAGGAGATGTGTGGACACCACGACAAAACTAGGCTCTCCCAGCCGAGAAGAAGTCGGGCAGTGGTGTGGCTGGCATGTGTGTCGCACCAAGCAACGTGCTCCAGTTTGTTCTGGAAGCTTTTCTGTTCTTGTTAAGGTACCAACGGCCTTTCCCTGTTCCTCTTGCAGATGAAGCTGGAGTGCCTCAGTCCCTGCCTTTCCCAAGCCTCACAGGGACGTGCAGAGGCCACTGCTCACAACGTGAGATCTGCTTCTCCCTGTGGCCAGCAGGCTGGGCTGCATCAACTGTCTGCACCAGCCTCCTCCTCGTGGACGTGCTCCGTGCATCCCAATGGTGTGGGCTGGACTTTTGCTTGCACTCCAGCCTCAGAGGTCAGGCTCTCACGCCCTTCAGAGTAGAGCCTTGGCACTGCCTTGTTACTTCAGGACACAGACTCAGTCTCAACATGAGCCAAGGGGGCCAAGACCCCACACATGTGTCTCCCAGGAAAGGTTTATCCACCAGAAGGCCCCACGTGTTTGTGAATCTGACTTGGGAATCTCCAGTGGAAATCCACTTCAGTCATATCTGTTCCTATGGTTTAAAATCTGGCTAACATTTCTTATCTCGAGTGTGTGGTCAAGCCGAAGGCCGCAGGGCTTGTAATACGGATCCAGCAACCCTAAGGTGTCTTGTGATTTTCGTGTAAGAGGTGGTTCAAGCCATCACAGTACTCAGATAGAGCAATTCTCCTGTCCTTTGAAAAACTGAATTTGCCTCCTTGCCACAGTCCTAGGTATCCTGATCAGATTACAAGAACTCCAGTTTATGTCCAACCCAGATTTTTTCTGATTTTTTTTTTTTCTGAGATGAGTCTTGCTTGCTCTGTCACCCAGGCTGGAGTGCAGTGGTGTGATCTTGGCTCACTGCAACCTCCACCTACCGGGTTCAAGCAATTCTCCTGCCTCAGCCTCCTGAGTAGCTGGGACTACAGGTGCCGGACACCATGCTTGGTTAATTTTTTTATTTCTAGTAGACAAAGGGTTTCACCATATTGGCCAGGCTGGCCTCGAACTCCTGACTTTGTGATCCACCCACCTTGGCCTCTCAAAGGCATGAGCCACTGTGCCTGACCCAGCCCAGATTCTGAAAATTGACCTGCAGTGATGATCTCCTGGTTTTCTAATTCTCAGGTCTCCCTGCCTCTACCCAATGTGGTGCGGGTGGCTGTGATCCATCAGCCCCATCCGAGGGAAGGCAGGGAAGGGGAAGCAGGCCTGGGCAAGTGCTCTGCAAGCTTGCTCTCCGTGTCCTGGATGAAGTGAGCGTCTCTTTTCTAATCCAGGTCGGCCCGGCATCTGGTAAGAAATGAGAGTGGATTCTTTGTAACACAGGCTGAAATTCTCCCAATCCTTTGCTTCCTGCCTTGTTTCTATCCATAAACTTGATTTTCGTTTCCTGTGAAAATTCCTTATCAAAGCACATCCTTCTCCCCTCATTCCTCCCTGCATTTAACACCGTTCACCTTTGCCTGTGTACGCTAGGATAAACAACCTGCTGACCCAGTGAAAAGAATGTCGAACAGAATAATTAAAAAACCAACCAACTGACAAATCCAAACAAGCTTTGGTGGTGAGGACTGGATTAATTACACTTGTCCACACCCAAGCCTGGCAGAATGGGGTGCCCTGGGAATTTCTGGAGAAGCCAACCCTGTGCCTGAGGGATCATGGGTCAGGGGTCAGGGGTCAGGGTTGACAGCACTTCCCTGAAGCTAGATCAGACCCAGCCCGAGAGTAACTCCAGCCTGAAAGAAAGCTAATTGAGGAAGCTTTTTCCAAAGGTAGTGACGGCTATGTTCTGTCTGCAGGATACACTCCATCCAGGTGCAGGGCAGGGAGAGGGCCTGGGGTAACCAGTAGTTCTAGACATGGAGACAGGGCTTACAAGCAAGTGCTCAGCCAGGTGCAGCCGAAAAGGGGAGAAATCCCGGAAATACAGGATAGTCGAGTTCCTCCTGGGAACTTGGCAGTCATGATTTACACAATATGCACCTAAGAATATGCTGATTTTACAAATACCTCAGCTAACCTGTGGTAGTGCTAATAGGTTAGGCTGTCTGTTGAATCCATCAAAAGTCACTTATACTGTGTAGGCCAAGCACGCTGGCTCACACCTGTCATCCCAGCACTTTGGGAGGCTGAGGTGGGTGGATCACTTGAGGTCAGGAGTTTGACACCAGCCTGACCAACATGGTGAAACCCCATCTCTACTAAAAATACAAAATTAGCCAAACGTGGTGGCGAATGCCGGTAATCCCAGCTACTTGGGAGGCTGAGGCAGGAGAATTACTTGAACCCAGTAGGTAGAGGTTGCAGTAAGCCAAGATGGCGCCATTGCACTCCAGCCTGAGTGACAAAAAAAGAAAAAAGTCACTTATACTGTGTAATATGGGAGACACCAGATGCTTACTAGTCCCCCTAAAATGTCCTTTCTCTTAACAGGTCACAGAACCTCCAGTGTCTGCATCTTTTATTTAAAGGAGCTAAAAGTCAAGGGATCCACAATTAAAACACAAATATGGGCTGGGTGTGGGGCCCATGCCTGTAATTCCCAGCTCTTTGGGAGCCCAAGACAGGAGAATCGCTTGAGCCCAGGAGTTTGAGGCCAGCCAAGGCCACATAGGAAGACCCTGTCTCTGGAAAACAAACAAAATACACAAATATGTTACACCAAAGGGCATCACAGAACCCCATAATCATCCATTAAAGATTACTGGAAATGCTGATTATCTGAGTAGGCAGCCAGTCAGAGGAGGGGCCTCTTGAATAAAGGTCAGGAATCTCCCAGTTTTGAAAAAAGGTTCTGGAACTCTTTGGAATCTTTTTTTTTTTTTTTTTTTTTTTTTGACAGAGTCTTGCTCTGTCACCCAGGCTGGAGTGCAGGGGTGTAATCTCAACTCAGTGCCACCTCTGGCTCCCGAGATCAAGTGATTTTCCTGCTTCAGCCTCCCAAGCAGCTAGAATTACAGGCATGTGCCACCACACCCGGCTAATTTTTGTATTTTTGTAAGAGGAGGGGTTTTGCCATGTTGGCCAGGCTGGTCTTGAACTCCTGACCTCGTGATCCAGCCACCTCAGCCTCCCAGAGTGCTGGGATTACAGATGCGAGCCACTTTGCCTGGACTCTCTGGAACTTTCTGATACTATATAAATGGAGGCAGTAGGAGCAGTGAGTGGCCTTGTGCTGCCTGCTGAAGAATGAACGCATGAAGGAGTGCGTGTTGAGGGTGTGTATCAGGCAGCCATCTGGGAGAGGAACACGGCCATTGCTCCTTCCAGACCTAGCACCCAGGGTTCACCTGAGGCAACTGGTCCAGACTCAAAGGTGTGTCACATTGCATTTTCTCAACGATGATCACAGAATTGTCCCCAAATTATTCCCATGTAATTTTCTGAAAGTTATTTGTTTCTTATGATTTTTGCATTGATACTGAGATTCAACTGTAGTTTTCTTGGTTAAAGTGTGCCATCTCAGGTTTTGAAATCAATGTTATGTTTCATAAAATAATTCAAGAACTTTCCTTCCTTTCTACATGCTGGAACAATTTAAACAGAATTGAGTGCCACCTGCTCCTTAAAGGTGTCTTAGAACATCCCTGTGACACTAGTTGGGCATTTCTGAGGGAACTCTGACAACTTTTTCTCTTTGTTGTATGAGAATCAGAATGCTTTGGGTTTTTTCTCTTCTGAGGTCCATTTTGCTAAATTTTTTTTCCAAGAAAATTGTATTTTTCACCCAAGTTTTATTTACTTTCTTTTTTTTTTTTTTTTAGAAGGAGTTTCACTCTCTTGTTGCCCAGGCTAGAGTGCAGTGGTGCGATCTCGGCTCACTGCAACTTCCACCTCCCAGGTTTAAGAGATTCGTATGCCTCAGCCTCCTGAGTAGCTGAGATTACAGGCATGCACCACCACGCCTGGCTAATTTTGTATTTTTAGTGGAGATGGGGTTTCTCCATGTTGGTCAGGCGGGTCTCAAACTCCCAACCTCAGGTGATCCGCCCACCTTGGCCTCCCAAAGTGCTGGGATCACAGACATGAGCCATCATGCCTGGCTCAAGTTTTACTTTCATGGAGTTAAGCAAAGTACAGTAGTTCCATATTAATATAGTTTTATGGTTATTTTTCTCTTATTCTCTCTTCTCTTGTATATTTGCATTTCCTACTTTTTTTCTGTTTAGGTTAGCTAGTGCTTTTCTATTTTTTAATTCTTTTCGCCAAAGATTCAGTTTACTTCTTTTTCTAATGTTGTCTAATTCAGTAAGTTAGAAAGTTCTGTTTTTATTTTTATCAATTTATTCTTTCTACATCCCTTCAGTTTATTTTATTGTTCTTTTTCTGAGCTAGATGCTTGATACATTTGGTTTTTATTATTTATTTAAGTATTTAAACCTATGAATTTTCCTTCATTCAACTACCTTAATACTATTTCATAGATTTCATAGGTGTGGAAAATGTATTGATTTTGTTATTTTTATTTTCTAGAAGTCCTGTGATTTAGGTTAATATTACATTTTGATCCAAGAGATAAGAAGAATTTCTTTAAATTAAAATTCATTTAGGATAAACTTTAAAGATGTTAAGGTGAAAAGGAATTTTTATCTGATTTTAAAAATTAATTTATCATTTATTGCATAGTGACCAAAGAATTTTGCCTATGCTATTTCTACATTCTAGAATTTATTCAGGGTTTTTCTTGGTGACCTCTTATGCAGTCGATTTTCTTGAATGTTCCATTCTTGACTATTCCTGAAATAAGAATATGCTCTATGTGTAGAGAATATATTTAACATAGATTATATGAGAGTTCTGGATTATTTATTTTATTTTTGAGATGGAGTTTTGCTCTTGCTGCCCAGGCTAGAGTGCAATGGCGCAACCTCAGCTCACTGCAACATCTGCCTCTCGGGTTCAAGGAATTCTGCCTCAGCCTCCCCAGTAGCTGGGATTACACGTCCCTGCCACCATGCCCCCACTAATTTTTTGTATTTTTAGTAGAGACGGGGTTTCACCATTTGGGTCAGGCTGATCTTGAACTCCTGACCTCAGGTGATCCACTCTCCTCAGCCTTCCAAAGTGTGGAGATTACAGGTGTAAGCCACTGCACCCGGCCTATTGATTTTATTTTTATTCATTTGATTTGTCATAGACTATAGAGTCAGGAATGAAACCGGTGTGATTCTGTCTCTTTCTCCTTTTGCATCCTATAATTCCAAGTTTATGAGTGCCATTGCATTGTTATTTGGCACTCAGCTATTTATAACGACTATATCTTCACTGTGACTCATACCCTTTAGCATTATAAGGTGTTTTTATTGGTCTTACTTAATCTTTTTTTTTTTTTTCTTGAACTTCAATTTACCTAAACTTAGAGTAAAACCATGACCTTTGCTTTCTTTTGGTGTACTCTCCTTTAATACAGCCTTACTCATCTTTTTATGTTCAATATTCTGTTTTAGTTGTGTATGACGTACAGAGAGTTATGTTTTGCCTTATGATTTAGCTTGAAAATATTGTTCTCTTAGTTGGGGTGCTAACCCCATTTGAATTTATAGATGTGACTAAGGTGTTGTTTAGTCTTAGATATGATATATGGTTTTCCGTTTTGTTTTGTTTTGTTTTGTTTTCGAGACAGAGTCTTGCTCTGTCACCCAGGCTGGAGTGCAATGGCACGATCTCGGCGCACTGCAACTTCCGCCTCCTGGGTTCAAGCAATTCTCCTGCCTCAGCCTCCCGGGTAGCTGGGACTACAGGCCTCCACCACCATGCCCAGCTGATTCTTTTGTATTTTTCAGGAGAGATGAGGCTTCACTGTGCTGGCCAGCCTGGCCTTGACCTCCTGATCTCGTGATCCGCCGGCCTTAACCTCCCAAAGTGCTGGGATTACTCGTTCCTTTTGTTTTCTTTTTTAAATTTGTCTGTTTTCTTTTGCTTTGCTTTTTATATGTAGTTCTCTGATATTTAGAAAGATTAGTATATTTTTTCTAATAGACACTTTTATAATGATAATTTAATTTTTATTTTTTGTAGATGGAGTCTCACTCTGTTACCCAGGCTGCAGTGCAGTGGCACAATCTCAGCTCACTGCCACCTCCACCTTCCAGGTCCGGCGATTCTCCCACCTCAGCCTCCGGAGAAGCTGGGACTACAGGCGTGTACCGCCACATCTGGCTAATTTTTGTATTTTCTAGTAGAGACTGGGTTTCACTATGTTGGCCAGGCTCATCTCAAACTCCTGACCTCAAGTGATCCGCACTTCTCAGCCTCCCAAAGTGCTGGGATTACAGGCGTGAGCCACGGTGCCCGGCTATAATGATAGCTTTCTGTAATGCCTTTAACCCTCTATTTCTTTAGAACATAACTATTAGTTCTCTACTATAAGCAATGAGAAGATTAGTATGTTTTCCCATCTTTCCCATTCTATTACCACCTTATTTTCTACACGAATGTAATCTTTATTACTATCAACCTTAGCTCTTTTAATATGTTTATTGCTTTATTACTTGAGCTGTCAATTTTAGTATCAATCAGGGCTAGAAAAACAGAAACCACACTAAAACCTTTGAAACTGATCGACTTTAGGCTGGGTGCGGTGGCTCACGCCTGTAATCCCAACACTTTGGGAGGCCGAGGTGGGTGGGTCACCTGAAGTCAGGAGTTCAAGACGAGCCTGGGCGACAGAGTGAGTGGCACTCCATCCCGAAAACAAGACAAAGAAAACAAAATAGAAAAACTGCAGCTCTAGACTCACACTTAAGGGCAGTGAGGCTTGAGAGACCATTCTTGTCCCTTTCTTTCCTTAAATATCTTGTGGGTATTGTTCTACTCTTTAATAGGTTAAAATATTGCACACAGGAATCCAAGGCCAGCCTGATTTTCCCCCTTTTGTAAATAACTAGATTTTTGTGTGTGGGGCTTCCCAAAAAAGCCTACCATTTCATTAAAAGTTCAATAACTTTTCTAGAATATTTATGACTATTTGGAGTCACTTTTCTTTTGTGTGTGTGACAGGGTTTTGCTCTGTCACCCAGGCTGAAGTGCAATGGCATGATCTTGGCTCACTGCAGCCTCTAACTTGTGGGCTCAAGTGATCCTCCCACCTCAGGCTCCCAAGTAGCTGGAACTATAGGCCCACATAATCACACCTGGCCAATCCTTTCATTTTTATTTTTTAGAGATGGGGCCTTGCCGTGTTGCCCAGTTTGGTCAACTCGTGGGCTCAAGGGATCCTCCCGCCTCGGCCTCCCAAAGTGCTGGGATTACAGGTGTGAGCAACCACGCCAGGCCTGGGTAATTTTTATTGACCTATCTTGCATTTTATTTTGTCTGTCCTCTGATGAGATTTTCTATTTGCTGAGGCTTTCTTCTGTTGAAAACTTGTGTCTTTTACTTCGTTGGCAATAGCTACAATATCTACTTTAAAATCATGTCTGTGATTTTCAACTTGGGTTCAAATTGGGATGTGCCTTCATTGATTCTCTTTTCTCTTGAGAATGAATTCCATTTTCTCCTTCCTTCCTTCCTTTCTTGTTTTTTTTTTTTTTTTTTTTTTTTTTTTTTTTTTTTGTCTTTTTTTTTTTTTTTTTTTTTCGGAGCCTCACTCTGTCACCCAGGCTGGAGTGCAGTGGCATGATCTTGGCTCACTGCAACCTCCACCTCCTGGGTTCAAGGATTCTCCTGTCTCAGCCACTTTAGTAGCTGGGACTACAGACACACACCACCACACCTGGCTAATTTTTGTATTTGTAGTAGAGACAGGGTTTCACCATATTGGCCAGGCTAGTCTCGAACTCCTGACCTCAGGTGATCCACCTGCTTTGGCCTCCCAAAGTGCTGGGATTACAGGTGTGAGCCATCATGCCCAGCTGAATTCCATGTTCTTGATTCTTCACATGACAGGTAATTTGGATT